AGCTGGAGGGCCACCCGTGCTGGATCCGGATTCTCTCTGCGTCTTGAGCGCCAATCTTCACAGCAACACCCCCCCTCTCAATTCGTGTCAGGCCCCTAGCCAGCCATTTAGGCAGGGGGCAAATGGGACGATTTCCCACCCATTCTGGCGTGGGGGAGAGCACCCTGTGAAAAAGGAGGGGGGGAAGGTGATGCCCCCCCAAGGAAAAGAGTGTTCATGAAGCGCTACATGAATGTGACCCGGAGGTGTTGCCCGTTATTTACCTGACACTCATCATCACTACAGTCACCGCAGGATTTCGGTGCCCTCTAAAGGCTGATGCCCTGAACGGGCAAAGCCCGAGCCTTCTCCGCCTCGAACCCAAGCACTCTCCCTCCCTGCCCCGTGTCGCCACCCCCTCGCTTTCTGCTCTGTCTCTTCTCTTCTGGCATAGGCGCTCCAGCCCCCGACGGGCGAGGGGAGATGTTCCCTCAAGACGGCGAGGTGGCGGGACCGACTCCGGGGCCCAGTGGACACGATACGGTTCCGGTCCTAGATATAATTTTGGGGTGGGGGCGTTGGTGGACCCCATACCTACGAAGAAACGTGCTCTTGCGATTGTGCGGCGCGCCGCTTACAATTCCTAACTGAAACCCCTTGAGAGGGGTTGACTTCACACGTCAAATTTGTGAATGCGTGTCTAAAAAGCCGGCTTGGGAGTGGGCGCGAGGGAGCAACGGCTAAAGGGACACCCTCCGAGCGGTCAAAAAGTGAGGGGTCCCTCAAAGACAGATCCCACATTGGGGAAGTCAGTGTGCGCGTTACATCCTCCCTCCCGGGCTTATGTCCTAACGACCTAAATGGCACTTACGGAGGGAGGCAGACTGGATAAGGAACTCAAGAAATCATGGCGCGGGGGTGCGAGTAGGGGGGGGGAAACTGGCATTTCGCGCCCTTCGTATTTTAGAAAGCCTGAAAAGCCCATTCCTCAGAGTTAATTGTTTGCTGAAACGTGCGATCGTTCAGACATTACAAAGATGACTTCTCCTGGTCAATTTGAAATCCTTTCCCCTGTGCCCTTCAGAGGTCAGAAGCAACTCACATTGAGTTCAATGGCCTTTCCACCAGGTACGTGGGTATGCAAGTGCAGCCTCATGAAGATTAATTTACTATAGATTTTTCTGTGAGATTAAAAGAACATTCGAAGGAGTGGCTTTGTTTTTATCTGCACTCCTTCTGAGTGTTCCTTCGTGTGTGGGTGGTGAAGATTTGTAATTCCCACCAGTAGCTGAGAAGAATGGAAAACTTCAGGGAGCATGTATGGCAATCACTCTCTCAATTAGCAACTCTCTTAAGGGCATGTGGGTTCAGGCAAGATTAAAAATCTAAAAGGTTGTATTTTGCTCTGTAGAAGCAAAGGGTTTATGGAGGGAATGCTAGGAAATCCTTGCAGGTTCCAGTACTTTTAACTACAGGTTACGCAAATTATGCAGTGAATTAGGAGACTCACTCTGCCAGATCTTGAGAAAAATAAAGTTTCCTTCGGAACATAAGCATCCTTGGTTCTACACGGCTTCCTCTGTCCTCTTCCTGTGAAGAACTACCCTATATTTCTGAATATATGAACTCCATATTACATTAAAGGCTCCATAAAACAGAAAACCTATTTTGAATTTAACAATTGTAATTCTGGAATCATTATCATTTAAACAATTTTTAAGGTGAGAAAATGAAGAGCTATATCAATGGTTATTATGCTTATACTGGGGAAAAAGTGCAAATAGAAATGGAAGTACCCTTCATCTCACAATTGGGCCAAATGTCAGGACCCAGTACTGTATGTTGGAGCAAATATTACTCCCATGGCTACGGTCCCAGAGTTCTTGCCATGAGTGACATTACAGTAATTTCTATTAAGTCAATTCCTATTTATGGTAACCCTTTCCAGGGTCCTCTGGGTATAGAGGACCCTTCTGGGGACACATGTGGACATGCAGCTTGCCCAAGACTACACAGGCTGCAACTAGCCTGCCTTTTTGTCCACTCTTCATGTTTTCTTCTTACTATTTTTTTTTAAGCTTGGGTCCCTGCCCACTGAAGAGAAATGAAAGGCCATGAGGAATTCCAGAGAAACTGAAAATGCTGCTTCTTCATTCAACTTCAGTCATGCTGCTTGCACCTTTACTCTTAGATAAGCTTGTCCTCCAAGGTGGTTTTCTGCATCGCACAAGCTTCGCTCATGCCCAGGGCCTGCTACCAGCCATGCGCCATCTGTCTTCTGACACTGTGGATTTCTGCCACTCACTATGTAGATAGGGGAGTGATGATAAGTTGATTTTCACAGTTGTGGTTCCCAAACGGTGCCTGACTAAAATAGATCATTTACATTACAGTGATGCTATTTTATCTCATGTTAAAATTGATGCAGAAATAGAACCAAAAAGGGGAAGATAAAAGGTTTCGCAAAATATGTGTGTGAACATGTAACAGAATATTAGAATATTTTTTTCTATTAAGATTCTAATAAATTACTTAATAATAACTGCACATGCATTCAGAGCCTTCCTTTTTCTTTTATAAAGCTTGGTGATTTCCCCCCTCCCCAACCTTATGTCTTGACTGGCTACTGAGGAAAGGAAATTCTTATAAAAAATGGGATTTGTCTTCCGGTTGCCAGGACAGCAGGAAATCTGTCTTAAATAGGCAATACTATAGAGACGGACAGGAGAAACAGACACATCACACAAAAAACATAACAAAACAGAAGCAAAAAAAGAGACAAAAAACATTGTGGCCTTGTAAAGACTAACTGCTATAGTTGCTGTAGGTTTTTCGGGCTGTTTGGCTGTGTTCTTGAGATTTTTCTTCCTAATGTTTCGCCAGTCTCCGTGGCCAGCATCTTCAGAGGACAGGAGTCAGAACTCTGTGCTCTGGACCAGAGCACAGTTCTGACTCCTGCCCTCTGAAGATGCCGGCCACAGAGGCTGGTGAAATGTTAGGAAGAAAAACCTTAAGAACATGGCCAAATAGCCCGAAAAACCCACAATAACCATCTGATCCTGGCCATGAAAGCCTTCGAGAATACAGTAACTGCCATATTTTAATGTGAGCTTCATGGACATACACTTCTTCAGACGTAACAGTGGGAATACATGGCAAATATTTATACATTTATCATACATGGCTCCAAAATAAGGAGATGGTGTTGGGTTAGTAGGCAAGAGTTGCCAATTACATGAATCAATGTGACATTTCACTTTGCAGGTAATGATTTCAGATGGGAAGTGGTGGCACTACAGGTTAAACCACAAGCCTCTAGTCTGCAAGGTTGAAAGATCAGCAGTTCAAATCCATGCAACAGAGTGAGCTCCCATTGCTTGTCCCAGCACAAACACTGGCTCAATGGCTTGGAAATGGGGGTGAGCACCACCCCCTAGAGTCAAACACGACTGGACAATTGTCAAGGGCAACCTTTACCTTTACCTTTATTGATAACGTACCAGAAACAACATAGGGTAAATGAGGTGAGAATCTCTGACTGCCTTAGAAGCTTGTTCTATAAGGTGGCTGTGGTTAGCAGGAAAGAACATTTAATCCATTAAGATAGGTACTAAGAATATGAATATATTTTATTTTAGTGGTCTCCCTCTCTCTCTGTCTCTCTGAATATCATACAGGCATCTTAAAGTCATTCAGCGGTGTGAAATGCCACATTGACTCACACAATCTGAAACTTGTACCTATTAACTAAATATTGTCTCCTTATTTTGGAGCCATGTACAATAAATGTATAAATATTTGCCACGTGCTCTCACTCTTATGTCTGAAGAAGTGCACTGTTTTCATGAAAGCTCACATTAATATATAGTGGTTTGCTGAGTTTTTTTCCCTGGGCTTTCTTTTTGTCTCCTGACCACATGGCCTGGGGGTGGGGCCTAGGGGTGGGACTTCCTGCTTTAAAAGAGTGTGTCCCAGGACCGCGCGCCTAACGCTGCGCGAAATTCTCAAATTTTGTATTTGGCCTTAATATGGTAAATAGGAAAGCCAATTAGATTTGCACAAGCCGGGGAGTCAGGAAAGTTTTAAGGATCAGATCATACTTTTGCACTATTAAAGAGCAGGCCGGGTAGGTGGGGCTCATCAGCCATGGAAGGCAGCCCATCTAGGAGAAGGAAAACTCCAATTTCAAACCTCCACTACCTTGTGGCTATATCCACTCATGGAAAAGGCTTCAGGAGTTAACCTGGAGGCAAAATCCGGAGCTGGAGTCCCGAAGGCAGCATGTGTCATTCTGCCAACTCCTGCGACATTGCTGGAACCAGTCGTATTGGCTCTTGCCTTTCCACTGGACCATTTCAGCAATGTGGAGAGGGGGGATCTGCTGCTTGGGTAACAGCCTATCCTCCATATTACCTTACCCGGGCTTCATGCTCTGGAGAGGACACTCCTCAATTCAGAGCATGTCACCATAGTCTCTCGAGACTGAAGGATGCCTATGATGAACCTTTATAATGCCACTATGTTTTTGTCTTCTTTATCTCCCCCCCCATTTCTGCTTCTGCTTAGTTTTGTTTCTTATGTGATAAACTCGCACAGACTAACACATTTACCTCTTAAAAATTTATAGACACAGCTGTTTTGCAAGCTGATATCTGCTAACAGGACTCCCAGTGACAGTAGAACATATAATTACTCATTTCAAAGTCAGGCCACTCTTAAAGATGTTTCGTGGTAGCTCTGCTGGTAAAGCTGTAATAATCAAGCAGATGATGCTGAATTATGCAAGTGTGTGTGTCATTCTGCTGGCTTCCTCCTTGCAGTGGTACATCAGAAAGGACTCACTCAAGACCTTTAGGTGTCTGAGGCAGAGCCCCAAATGGTGTCCTGCAAACACACAAGTTCATAGTACTCAAAGCCAGTCCAGTTATATGGACACATGATGCAAAAAGAAGGTGGGGGTTATATACACTTCTCCCCATCCCTAGCAATGTAAATATGATAACAATGTAAATAGCCAATTACTTGCTGCTCTATTAGGACACTAAACCTTTGCCACCGAAGGCAACTACCTCACTCTGTCCAATGGTCGATCTGGCCATAATATTCATCCAAATTGGATTAAGAAATAAAAATACAGGGGCATGTGATCCCTTTATCATCAACTGAAGGTGAGATGAATGCATACTGCCTTGTAATTCATCTTGCCTTGATCACAAAGGTTGTAGCTACTGAAAGGCAAAGGAAACCCATCACGACCTCAATAGAAACAGGGGGCACTATTTAATTGTCTGTCCTTCTATTTCTTATTTCCACAAAGGCAGTGACAAGAAGTACCAATACAACAGCCGGATCTGTCTGCTAAGACCAGGAAGATGAGGTGGATTCAAAATGTCAATTCCATCTGAGCAACTCCAGATTAACCATTCAGCAAAAATAAGCCCATGCTTAGGGCATCAACACAGGAAGCAGGCACCATAGAGGTTTTACCATGGACCCTGGTGCAAATGGTGCACCTTCCTTAACAAACCATATCCATCCATCCAAATCCCTCAGCTCCCTCCCTCAAGAGTCCCAAGAAAACCACCTCCCTACCTAAGCAATTGAGTATGAACCAGTAAAACCCCCCAAAAGTATAAAGACTTGCCTAGTGAGAAAATCTCCCTCCCTCGCTCCCTCAAGAGTCGCAAGAAAACCACCTCCCTACCTAAGCAATTGAGTATGAACCAGTAAAACCCCCCAAAAGTATAAAGACTTGCCTAGTGAGAAAATTCATGTTCTGAGCAAAATGATTCAGCAGCAGCAGCCACATGGCTTAAAAAGAAAAACTTCTGTATTTGGGGAGTTTGGGTGGGGAATACCGATAAAAAGAGCTGCTGTTCTTTTAGATCTATGGCCTCTGCACTGTATGTGCAAGACAAAGAAACAACAGCCACTGTTAAAAATGTCCTCAAAGAAGTTTTACGCTCTTGTTTGAGCTTTTCAATTTACAAATTCTGACAAAACCTGTGTGCATTAATCACAGCATGAAAGCACAAGATTTGGCTGGAAGCCAAGAACTTGGTCGTATGTATGATTTTGCATACAGTATTTTTCCCTACATGCTATACAATTAAATTACCATAGTTTCATGCAGATAATGTGCACAATACATGTTTT